TAAATGAGAGCTTAAGTGTTGGAAAGTTGGCCGTAGTCGGAACAATATGAAGACGGCCTCGAAATGAAAGTTCGATGGTTTCATTAGTTGCGTTGGGTGATTTTAGGCTTAGGGGCGTGTTCGGATTGCATTTTGGATGTCCGTAGCTAATTTAGGCTTGAAATGCCTAAAGTTGAATTTTTGAAATTTCCGGTTCGATAGTGAGATTTTGATCCGAGGGTTAGAATGGAATTCCTAAAGTTGGAGTAGCTCCGTAGTGCTTAATGTGATGTGTTACAAAATTTCAGGTCATTCGGACGAGGTTTGATAGACTTTTTGATCGAAAGAGTATTTTTAGAGTTTTTGGAATTCTTAGGCTTGAATCCGATGAAAAATAGGTGTTTTGATGTTGTTTTGATCGTTCCAAAGGTTGGAACAAGTTTTAATGATGTTTTAGGATGTTTTAGAGTTTCCTTCTTCGTGTTCGCGAGTGGGGTCTCGCGTTCGCGAAGAGGAGCTGGGGCTAGGGGAGGTTTAATGCTTCGCGTTCGCGAAGTTTCTCCCACGTTCGCGAAGCTGAGAGGTCTTATACATATCGTGATGGTGTTCCCGCGTTTGTGTAGGAAGAAGAGTTTGTGCACTGTGTTCACGACTAGGGCATCGCGTTCGCGATGAAGGAAAGCTGGACCAAGCGAAGTTGTGCTTTGCGAAGGTGAGGGTCCTTCCGCGTTCGCAAGGAAATACCTAGGCAGAATATAAAATTTCAAAATCGAGGGTTTAGCCATTTTTATAAAAACTTAAGCTTGGGATCTCGGATTTGAGCGAGATTTTGAGGAATTTTCAGAGAAATCAATTGGGTAACGATTCTTAACTCCTTTTTTCTTGTAACCCATTAATCCAAATATGAATTCATCATTTAATTTCGGATTGGAGATGAAAATTGGGAAAAGGTTGGAAGAAAGTTCTTAGACCTAGAATTCGACTTTTGAATGGGAACTTGACCTTAGATTTGGATGATTTTGGTATGCATGAACTCCGGAGAGTGTGAGGATTCTGAAAATATAAATTTTACCCGATTCCGAGATGTGGGCCCGAGGGGCATTTTGGTCATTTTTCCTAATTTAGTGTATTAGCTTAGAATTTCTTTGTAGAATCAGTTACTTGAAGTGTTATTTACATTATGCAATTGAATTGAATATATTTGGGCCATTTGGAGTAGGTACTCGTGGCAAGAGCATGGTTCCGGGTTGATTTGAGTCGGTTCGAGGTAAGTGGCTTGTCTAACCTTGTGTGGGGGACCTTCCCCTTAGGATTTGGTATATTTGGTAATTGAAATGCCTTGTACATGAGGTGATGAGTGTGTACTTGTACTAATTGTTGGAAATCCGATTTTCTTTAAGTAATTACTAGTATGTTTCATTTCCTGTTTCTATTACTTGCACTATTAAGCCTGTTGTTGGCTTAGGAAAGTATGTCTAGGTGACTTAATTGCTTTACTTGCTCAAACTTCCTTACCTGAATTCTGTGCAGCATGTTAGGCTAGAATCACTTGTTGCCTTAATATGAAATTTTGCCATTTTTGTATATTTTCCTGTTGGTGCTGTGTATTTATTTTGGGACTACGGATGTGGGATTCTGGTAGCTCCCCCTTGTCTGTTTATTTTGGGACTACGGATGTGGGATTCTGGTAGCTCCCCCTTGTCTGTTTATTTTGGGACTATAGATGTGGGATTCCGGTAGATTCCCCTGAACAATTATATGGAACTACGAGAATTCACCTGGTAGATTCCCCCAGTACTAGGTATTTACATTTGGGACTACGAAACGGGATTCCGGTAGATCCCCGCGCACTATGAGTTAGACTACGGGACGGGATCCTGGGAGATCCATTGGATATGTAAATATAGGACTACAGGAAGGTATCCTGGGAGATCCCCAGTTGTTATTTTGGTGCTATGTCACATTTCTTTTCGTGTTTTGTCTTGTCTCTGTAATAGTTGTTGTTTCCACTTTTATATCATGTATTACTTTTACTGCTGTATTTATTTATACTGTTCTGTTCTACACTGTCAAAATTTATACTTTATTTAACCTCAGTAGGGCTCTGACCTTCCTCATCACTACCCGATCGAGGTTAGGCTTGGCAATTACTGAGTACCGTTGTGGTGTACTCATGCCCGTTCTGCGCACGTTTTTCATGTGAAGATCAAGGTACTGCGACTCAGTCCTATCACCCTTGAGGCGAGGCGACTGCTCCAACGACTTTGAGGTATATCTGTTGCGTCCGCAGACCGAGGAGTCCCTTTATGTTCTAGCTTTTAAACATTTGCCCTTCTGTATTTCTTTTCCTTTTTAGATGTTCTGGAGTTAGATTACTGTGTAGTGATCCTTAGCTTGTGATTCATGGATTTCTGGGACTTGGAAGTATGTACTGGTTTGAGAAATAAATATTGTGTATGCCGAGCGACACTTTTAAATATTGTTTTATTGTTCTTCATTCTGTTGTAATTTGTTTTACTCCGCACTTGGTTTATCTTCCACAATTTAGGCTTACCTAGTCGTAGAGGACTAGGTGCCGTCACGATGGTTCACGAAAGGCGAACCCGGTTTGTGACACAAAACCTCGATCAAAACCCCAAAATTAGGCCTAAGAACTTTTCTCAATTTTCCCCATTTTTTCATCCCAAATCCGAATTTAAATGAAAAAATTAAGATTAGATTATAGGAATACACCTAGAAATGGATTAGGAATCGTTACCCACTGATTTCCTCTTCAAAATCCTTCCAAAATCGCCCTCAACCGAGCTGCTAATCGTTTTTCCGTGTTTTGATTTCAAACCCTCAAAATTTCCCCTTTTTCTGACTTGCGAAACCGCTTCTGCGACAATGGGACCGCATCTTCGGTCCCGCTTCTGCGGAAATAACCAGCACCTACGACTTTTCATTAAAAGCCACCCTTCCGCACCTGCGACCTCTTTTCCGCACCTGCGACCTCTTTTCCGCAGATGCGATGATGCTACTATGATAACTGGGTCACATCTGCGGTCAATCTCAAAATCGCCTAAGACTGCACCTGTGGTCCTCATACTACTTCTGTAGTGCCGCACCTGTGGTCCCATACACACAGGTGCAATTATAACAGGTTCAACCAACTTTAAATTTTCCTAAGACCAATTCAACTTCCGTTAAGCACCCGAAACTCACTCGAGGCCCCCGGGACCTCAACCGAATATGCCAACATATTCTAAAACATCATACGAACTTATTCCCACCCTCGAATCACATCAAACAATTCTAAAATCACAAATCACTCTTCAATGCAAGCCTAAGGATTCCCGAACTTCCAAATTTCGCTTTCGATCAAAAAGTCTATCAAACGTCGTCCGAATGACCAGAAATTTTGCACACATGTCCCAAATAACACGACGGACCTACTCCAACTTTCGGAATTCCATTTCGACCCTGATTTCAAAATCTCACTATCGAACTAGAAACTTAAAAAATTCAACTTCCGGCATTTCAAGTTTAAATAAGTTACGGACCTCCAAAACACAATCCAAACACCCCCCTTAGCCCGAAATCACCCAACGGAGCTAACGGAACCAACGGAATTCCATTACGAGGCCGTCTTTACATTTCTCCGACTAAGGACCAAATTCTAAAACTTAAACTCTCATTTAGGGGCTAAGTGTTCCAAAACACTCCGAAATCCAAAACGAACCTTCCCGACAACTTACAATAGCAGAAACAAACACGGCGAATGCAGTTAATAGAAGATCGGGGCATTAATTCTTAAAACGATCGGCCGGGTTGTTACATGCTCCGGTTAATGTAAGGCAATCTCTAATGTAGGATGTTGGTGTTTTCCCCTGTTCGATGTTTGTATGGTTGTTCGTTGAGCACTGAAATTGTTCGTTGCTTCTTTCGATCTGCTTTCTTCTCTGATAGTATTCTTCATAACCAATTATTTTACTTACTTTCAGTAATTTGTTTTGCTGAAAAATTGTTGTTTTGCTCAAATTTGTTTATGATTTTTAGTTTGTAAAATTGGGGGTTTTGTTGGTAGGTTTTTATTTCTTGGTAGAAACCCATGTTCGATGTTCGCTATCGATGTTCGATGCTCGTTGTCCTATTCGTTATTATGTATCACTTGATGTTATATGCATCTCAAGTATCATTTCAAGCATGGCAGTATTTACTCATCTTTGGAGAAAAATTCAATCAAGTCTGAAATTAGTTGCCTGTCTATCAGGAGAGAAATTATTAAAGTGACTCATACTAATATAGCTTAGCTCTAGTAATTAGTATGAGTTGTTAGTTATTCATTTATTAATAACCTTGCCCGCATTCTATTACTTTAAAAAGCACATTCTTTATTATTGTCGTTGCCTCACTGGCTATTTGTCGCTTGGCTCTATTACTACGATATATTTTCTCTTCGATCGCCTTGCCGACTCTTTGTTGATGTATAAGCCAATTGTAAACATAAATTGATGCCTTGGTTTCTAATTGTTGGTTAAAAAGCATGAAATACCTATTCTGAATGTGAAGAGTTTGAAATACAATTCTTGAAAGTGTGCCTGGGATTCACGCTCTAATGTCCCGACTGCACATATCAATCAGTTCACTACCTTGAAGGAGGTCTGTCTTTGTGTTGTTTATTGTTCTTTAGTTTTCTGTTGATTGGATATGCTAAAAATCTGTTTCGTTCAAGTGGTGGAAAATCTGTTTTGAAAGATTGATTAGCATCTGAGAGAATGATGTGCGTTACGTACTTGTCAAAGATTGAAGTTTGTATCTTAGCCCCTTGTCCTACTTGCTATGTTTTGGATAGCGTGCGGTGACAAATAGCGACGAGGGCCCACTTCACTAAGGCGAGAGGCGCGCAACGAAGTGCTCGCCTTTTTGATGTGAAATGACAATTTATACAAAAATATAAAATATTATATACATATAACTAAAAACTCAATAACAATAATATATTAATAATTATATTATTCAAAAAATAAAGACTCAAAAGATAGTCATAGACTCATAGTACATTCATAAATTAAAGTCTAATAGTCTAAACTCTAAAACAAGCAATATCTATTCTTCTTCAAGATTTTCAAATTCTACAACATCATTAATGTTAGCATTATATTGGCTATCATCTTCTTCATCCTCAGACTCTTTATCAATTAGGGACCGTCTTGAACTTGCTACTCTCTTTCCCTTGTAACTTGAAGAACTCCCTCTAAGTCCATAGATATTCTCCTCAACTCCAACCGCCATAGAAACAATACCCTAATCAAGATCATCTCCTTCATATACTTGTTCATCTTCATGATTTTAGGGTGTTCCAGTTAACCATTCATTTGCCTCGTCAATGTTGTCCAACAAAATTGGATCAATGGTATCGCGAGCTTCATAACGTCGACTCAATGTTCTATTATATTTAATATACACTAGATCATTGAGACGCGATAGCTGAAGCCTATTCCTTTTCTTGGCGTGAATCTGCGCATAAGTTATTTAGATTAATTAATAGATACTAATAATAATACAATATAGAGTATATTAATATAATAAATCTTCTTCTTACATGCTCAAATACGCTCCAATTTCTCTCGCATCCAGATACACTACAAGTTAGGCTTAGTACTTTGATGGCAAACCTTTGCAAGTTTGAAGTTTGATGTCCAAATTGCTTACACCATTCAACTATAGAAAAATATTTTAAAAGTTAATAAGTATAAATCAAATAAAATAAATTAAAGTTATAAGGATATCTATATTAAAGTTAGTTACTTGGCAACCTTATGTCTCTGTCTCTAATGGCAGCTGGTAAACCAAATAGGCTCTCTGCTTGTGAGTACTTACCAAACTCCTCCCTTATATGATCTATCGTCGCTGAATTAGGGATCAACTTTTCAAGACATGAATGGTATCCAATTCACACCTTTGAAGCTAAAGTTTCATCTCTAGTGTTCTTATAAAATAATCCTGGGTTTAGGAGATGGCCTGCTGCATGTAAAGGTCGATGGAGTTGATTGTCCCTCCTGGTATCAATTATCTCAAAAACTTTCTCATATTTCCTAACATCTCCCTTAAATGACGTTGTAATACTCTCTTTAACTCTATCCATAGCTTCATAAAGGTATCCCATTGGTGGTTTCCTCTCCCCATCCACCATATGAAGCACCTTAATCAAAGGACCACCAACTTTAAAAGCCCGAACGACGTCATTCCACAATGATGGAGAAATAAGAACTTTAGCAGTTTCTTTTCCCGCAGCTTCCTTTGCATATTTATTATCTTTCCATTCATTCGAAAGAACTAGTTTTTACAAATTTTTCTTTTGCAAGTAAAAACTATGCAAAGTTAAGAGAGCTATTGCAAATCGTCTTGGCCGGTCTCACCAAATTTCTTTCATTTATGAATTTCCTCATCAAATTCGACTACAACGGCCTCTGACTGATGTAAGAATATACCTTGACGGCCTTAGTAAAAACTGTAAAAGTAACAATAACAATTTTATAGTTAATACTTAATAAGATAGGACATAAGTATAAATAAAGTTAAAGGCTTTTAAAGATAACTATATTAAAGTTACCTGAAGCATATGGGTTTTCCTTGAATATGTCACCAAACATTAAGTTGATGCAATGGGCAGTACGTGGAGTCCAATAAATATTTGGATACATAGCTTCCATCATCTTCCCCGCACTAATATTCTCACTCGCATTATCTGTAACAATTTGTACAATATTTTCCTTTTCAATTTTATCAATAGTCTTTCTAAACAAGTTGTACATTTTGCTTCGATCCATAGAAGAGTTGCTAGCATCGTGAGATTCAAGAAAAACACTACTCCTTGGAGAGTTCACCAACACATTTATGATCATTTTTCTATTCTCTGTTGTCCATTTATCCATCATAATGGAACATCCAAACTTGTTCCATTCCACTTTATGCTCCTCAATAATTTGGTCTATCTTCTTCACCTCCTTTTTAAGATAATTTACTCTAACTTCATGATAGCTAGGAGGCTTCATTCCTGGGCCATATTGTTCTACGACCTCAATAAATTTATCAAAAGTTTTGTAGTTAACACAGTTGAAAAGAAGCCATGCATCGTACATCCATGCTGCAAAGGCACTTACGGCGCGATCTCTTAAAATCTTCTTGGCTTCTAAACCTAAACCTTCTTCACCTTTTCCCTTTTCTTGTTGTTTTGCCGAGAAATAAAGGTTAAGAGGACCTTTTGTCATTGTACGTTCCGTGGATGAAGCACTAGAACCAGTAGATATCTTATGAGTTTTTNCAGGCAGATAAAGGGGATATTGTATTATATTTTTAAATCCACCTATTAAATGTTGCTTGTGACGAGTTATCCCACCATGATATATTTTTTCACAAAGTACATATTTAATTGCGGATCATGATGAGCCTTGTATAGCATAATTCCAAGTTACATCATTTCGTTTATTACTATCGGATGACGCTATTTCAATTTTCAATGTTGTTTTATAAAAAAGAATGATCAAGTCAATATGCAATTAATTCAACTCTATAATACTATTCCGATTAATTGCATATAACACTCTATAATCCTACTGCCTCTAGAAAAAAATAGCGAAGAAAGAAGACAAAAAAAATAGAGCAAAAAAAATGATTCTGCCTTTGAAACAGTAAAGAAAGGAGAACAAAAATGAATTTTTTGCCTCTGGAAAAACAACAAATAAAGAAGAAGACAAACAGAGTAAAAAAATTAAGAGAGGAAGAAAGACCCAATTTTTGCTCGATAAATACAACACAAATACTATTTGGCTCTGTTTCTTTTGACAAAAAATAGAAGAAAAAAAATAGAAAGAAGAAGAGAAGAAGAAGAAGAAGAAGAAGAAGAAGAAAGAAGAAAGAAGAAAGAAGAAGAAGCATACCTCTGTTTTTTCGGTGTTAAAGCTTGAAGAGATGAAGCCAGATGACGAACAAGAAGACTAATCGCTGAAGGTTTGAAGAAGACTAATCGCTGAAAGACTGAAGAAAACTGAAAAACACTAATCGCTGAAACTCTGTTTTTTTGTTCGCAGGTGAAAAGCTCGAAGACCAAATGTCAAGGTCAAGCCCTAATTTCCTACTTAAATCTTCTCCCTTTCTTTTTTTTTTTTATAAAAAATAGCGACGCTACAGTCGCTTCTCGGGACACTGTCGCTTCACGCAACACAGAGAGAGGCGACCACTATTTTGTATCGTAACGCAACAGCTGCTCTGAAGCGACACACCCTCGCCTCGCATCGCTACATGCTTTTTGCGCTATAACGAGTGCTATTTATTACAATGCCTACTTGTTATGGTTCATTAGTTTTAGAATGACAATTATCATAATACCTTGTTTTAATTATCGACATCTGTTGGTTTTTCTTACTTTTTATATTTGAGTCATTCGATTTATTGTTGTGGTCTTAATATATTCTTCTTTAGTTATTTTCTTTATGTTTCCTTTTCTGAGAGGCCGATATATATAGTATACATCTATGAAATACAGTACTACTTACAACATGTAGTACATTTATCAAGTAGTAAGATACATAATTCTTTTTATCAAGATTTAGACATCAGTTTGTTAAGCTATTTTTTTATTTTATAAAAGCAAGATTTAGAGCATCGGTAGTAAGTATATGATAGCCAATTGTTTAATTGACATTCTGTGCAACAAAAGCATCTCTACTTCAATAATCTAGAGGCTCTTTATTAATATTTGCTTTTGCTGTGTATTGTATTTTATTTTGGTATAATTTTGAACAATCACTAGATTTTCTATAAGCATTATACTTTTTGAACTTTGTGTATGCTTTGAATAGAAATCCTCTTTAACTCATTCAATCTAATCGATTACAAATGAATTGAATGAGTTAAAGAAAATTTGTATTCAAACTATACCCAAAAGGCAAGATGCTCATAGAATATCTAGTGTAGTTCCTTAATAGTAGAGAGAAGAATTCAGGACATTGTCTCTGTTTTTTCAATTTAAGAGTGAATTGACCAATTTCATTTCAAATTTACACTACAAAATAGTGTTCTATTGAGAAAGTGAAGGACACTAAGCAATTTCAATACATATTCGAGTTATATGTATTGAAAGTCAAGGGTCAAGTCTTTGAATGTCAGTTTCATATTGGAAACTCTCCTCCTCCTCCTCCTCATCATCATCATCATCATCATCATCCTCCTCCTTCTCCTCCTCCTTTCTCTACGTTACTATTTCTTTCCTTCTTTCTGTGCGTTACTGCTGCTATTTATCTCATTGTTGCATATATTCTTCTCATATTCTGATAGACATGTGTGAAGAAAGACCTTCAAAGCCCAAAAGAAAGACAAGTGCGACATATGCAAAACCTAGAACAATGGCATCTTTGGAAAATCAAATAACGAGTTTGTTTAGCCAAAATATGGTGTTCCAGCTAGACAATCAAAGAAAGAGCTTTCGAATATTATTGAAGAGAATATACCACAGTATCCAGGAGTAGTAGCCCATGTACAAACTAGATCAATCACTTTTGCAAAATATGTTGTTCCTGCTAAACAATTAAACAAAGAGCGTCTGAATATCATTGAAGAGAATCTGCTACTGCCACAATATTCAGGAGTAGCAGCCCATGTACAAACTAGATCAACTACTCCTACCACAAAGTAATAGATGAACAAGTGGAGAAACAAGTTCAGTTGGATTCTACAACTCCTACTGTAGATGAACAAGGTAAGAACATATAGATTTTATCTAAAAATATTACATCCTATTGCAGTCATAAATAACATATCAACAATACTGATTTGGTGGTTTTTTTTGGATCATATAATTGTAGGCCCTTCTATCAACCAAGAAAAAGAGATAGAACAAAGATGAAAAGTGTACATGGACGCCATGAGCGTAAAGTGATTTTACTTAACAACTTAAATCAACCCGTTGGTCCTAGTGATGAAGTTGTGATAGAGTTTGGAAGATTCCTCGGCATATTGGCAAGGAATGCGACTCTATGTCCTCTTGATATTTTGGATTGGAGGAAGATGGACACAAAAGAGGATATATGTAAATATACCAAGGTCTGAACTTCTTAATTTTCAATTTTTAGTTAAAAATCTCATATCTTCTGCACTAATATATTTGACATCAATTGTAGCATAAATATGATATTCCTGAAGCTAGAAAAAAATATACTTTAGACTCAGTACAAATTGCCTGGAGAAAGCACAAGAGTAGATTGAAAAAAGATCACTTTCACGCATATCACAATGATGAAACTTGACTGCAAAATATCCCTGAAGATGTTCCAGCTTCTCAGTTTAAGAAACTCCTTAGGTATTGGAACTCACAGAAACTCCAGGTATGTGTACTTCTTTCTACTTCTACTTCTTCTTCTTGAACTTCTTCTTTTTCTTCTTAAAGTTCTTGTTCTTCTTCTTAAAGTTCATCTTCTTAAAGTTTATGGGGATGTTTTCTCCTTTTTTCTCTGCTTAACTGTTGCTGGTTTTTTTTGCGCTATTTACTTTATTGCTACTGCATATACACTCTATTCACTACTGCTGCTATTTGTAAAGACTAGCCAACTAGTTAGTTTGTCAAAGAGTAAGACCCAACATCAAGTATGTATAGTTTCTTTTTGTTGGCAAAACATCCTGATGCTGCTTCCTATAGCACCTTACATACAATGGAGCTTCCTTAATCAACAGTGAGTTCCTGGATATCATGTTCTGATAATAGTCGCTTTGTCAAGATAGTTCTATCTGAGCTTACTGTGGCGACCACAAATTAATGTTTATTTTAAAACGATTAGGCTGATTTTATGTATATCATGTACAAGTGAATGGTATGTAATACCTCTAGTATAATATCACCTTACTAGAGGTGTCCTGATATTTCTTTAGTTCACCTTGTCTAACACTAGGTCCGTAGCTTCTAGACTGATTGTGCTATTTAAGGATGAACTATATGACTTGAGTGATCAATTAAGTTCTAAGAATAATCAGTCATATATATTCGAATGGCTTGTACTGAAGAACATGAGTGATCTATAATGAAGATGATGAGAATTATCCTAATAACTTAGGTACGAGGGTTTAAATTTTAGTATAATTGTATAAATAACTAATGTGCTTATACATACAACAACAACAACAACCCAGTAAAATTCCACTCAGTGGGGTTTGGGGAGGGTAAAGTGTATGCAGACCTTACCCTTATCCCGGAGGGGGTAGAGAGGCTGTTTCCGGGAGACCGTCGGCACTGAGACAATAGATCTATGACAACAAAACCCGAAAAAGTAATATCAGCAACGTGAGAGATATCAAATAGATGGAAAAGCAGTACCACAAATATTATACAAAAGTCTGAAACACAACATAAATCGACCGCCCGACTACCCCTTAACCTACAACCCTTAACCAACGACCCTAATGCTCGACTACCCCTTAATCTACAACCCTAATTCTTGACCTCCACACCTTCCTATATAGAGTCATGTCCTCGGAAATTTGGAGTCGCGCCATATCCTATCTAATCACCTCGACCCAATACTTCTTATGCCGCCATCTACCTCTTCTCGTACCTACCAAAGCCAATGACTCACACCTCCTAACCGGGGCATCTAGGCTTCTTCTTTGTACGTGTTCAAATCATCTAAGCCGCGCTTTCAGCATCTTGTCGTCCATCGGAACCTCTCTGACCCTCTCCCGAATATCTTCATTCCTAATTTTATTCAGCCTAGTGTGCCTACACATCTACCTCAATATCCTCATTTCTGCAACTTTCATCTTCTGGGTATGTGACTTCTTAACTGGCCAAGACTCAACCCCATACGACATGGCCGGTCTATACATGTAAATTAAAAAACTCGAGTCATGGTTTGCTTTTTGGGCACTGCATGAATTTGCTTAGTGATTTTGTAAGTTGTTGTTTGATGTTTCTTTCTTCTTGCAGAGAATATCCCAAATTAATATTGATTACCGAAAAAAGTTGAAGAATCCTCACACTACTGGAAAAAGAAGTTTTGCTTTAGTTCGCTCTAAGTTGGTGTGTAACTAGCAAATCATGGCAAAATATTTCTCAATTTTGGCTGTTGTTTACTACATGGTAGATCACCAGGAATGCTAACTCACTTTCATATAACTAGGAAAATGATAAGAAAACTTCGGATTCTTTATCAACAAAGAAAGTCTTTGTAACTACACGAAAAAGGAAAGATGGGCGATCATACAAGTGCTCGGATGAAGACACAACTAGTAAAATTGTGCGAATTATATTTAACTATTGTTATATCGAGATCAATTATTTGTTTTTATTAGTTTACTTTTTTATTTACTTGTTCTATTTGTTTGAATTTGCTTTGAAGGCTGAAATGGATGAAATTGAAGCACAACAAAACGAAAATGGCAATGAGTCTGCAGATGCATTTGCATCTGTCATAGGGTCTGAACATCCGGGACATCTGAGATAGTATAGATGAGGGGTTACAAGAACTTCTTTGAGAGAGAAAGTAGGATGTTTTGAATACTATTCAAAGACTACAAATTATCTACAAAAAATGGACGAGAAGATACAAAGAATGGAGGAACAATTTGAGGAACAAAAGGCAACAATCCGTCAAGAAGTTGTTGCAGATGTACTTGCAGGACATCAGCATTCTGGAATTGATATTGATGCTAACATTGTTCTAGCGGCATTGGGTGATAATTCTCAGTGAGAAGCTTCTTCTGCACAGCAGCTACTTTGGAACCAATCCGTCGTCCATCTACTGATAGCAACAAAGAAGGCCAACTCATTCCAGGTATTAATATTGCTTATTTAAAATGAAAAAGTACTGATTTAATATTACATGAAATAAAATCCCTAAAGTTGATAAACTAATTAGGGTCTTGATCCATAAGTGCATACAGATATGCGAATATTGGTGGTCATCTGATGTTGGTGATGTGGTTGAATTTGTCAACTGCCTTGAACATAGTTGATTCATTGTTCTTCTAAACATGTATAAATCCTTAATAGAGAGTCTTCTTTTTGGTTTTGCAGGGCCTTATTTTATGTTACTAAAACCATTGTTTCTTTGCTTTCCTCTTCTCTTTTATAAATAATAGGTTTATGATTCATTATTGTTACATGAGATCGTGAAGTAATTGAGTGACTAACGATTTCCAGAAGTATATGCTTAGAGAATATTGGTTAGATGATTGCTACATTGATTTTGAGTTGGCTAGTAAAGGTGGGACTGTTCTTTTGCTAAGAAATAAATGAGTAAGAAAATTAAGAGGGAAAGCGAAAGTTGAGAGACTTTGTTTGTTCCTAAGCCGTAGTATGTTCAGTTGTTGGTTATAATGTTGTTTTTCGTAATAGCATATTCTGTTGTTGTTTTGGTTCAATAACTGCAGGACATAATATTGTTTAGGTGATGTTGTTTTGGTTTAGTAGATGTCAGCCGTAGTAGGTTCTGCACTGCCGTATTTACAAAATGATGTTTTGAGCATGTTGAAAATTTTGCGAGTCATATTTACAAAGGAAACTCGCCGAAAAATTTAAGAATTTAGAGAGTTTGAAAATTTTCGAGTTATCAAATTGGTTATTCAATTACTTTGTGATTCAATTATTAGCAGTCATATTGTTAAGTATTCCTGGTGTCATGCCAAGATTGACACCCATGCCCATTCTTCCTAGTAAAGGCATCTGAATATGTGGTTGCATTAATCCTATAGTAGACAGTGGAGGCATCATCATTTGAGACTCCATGTTTCTTGCATTGCTTATCAACTGAATCTGTGCTTGAAGCTGCTTTAAGTACTTTATGACTCAATTATCCTAAAAATTTTGTTTAATTATTTCTCATTGTTTTTTGTAGGTGCAGCGATTGCGGATGAAAGCAGTGACGAAGACCTTACTTGAGTGTTGTTGATCGTTGTTAGACTTTCTATTATTATGTTTTAGGATATTTTAGTTTAGAACTTTTTGTAGGCAAACTCATCTGTTTTGACTTTTGAATTGTTGACCAAACAATGTATCCATATTTTATTTTTGTACATGGATAATGCTAGTTGGATATGGTGTAAACAATTTCATAGAATAGGAAAATATTTCTCATTTTGCTTCCATAAATATCAGAAATTATAATATGTTGCAATAGAGAATATTACCGTTCCAATAGACCTAGCAAATAATAAGAGCAGCCCCTAATAACTGTTCCAATATGCTATAATATCCGTTGCAATAGGGTACTGATAATTCTTCCAATATATCACAAACATCGTTGCAATATATCATGAAAACCATTGCAATAGACTTAAAAAGTCACCTATATTATTATACCAGGACGGATTATAACCGTCCCAACAAAAAAGAAAACTGTTTCTGTAGATAGAACAACGGTAATAGTCCAAACCATCGCAATATCCCTATCTATGAAGATGGTTTTCAAACCATTGCAAATAACCGTTCCAATAGACCTATTATAACGCTGAATCACGGAACGCGTCCATATCCGTCCCAATAGCCCTATAGGGATGGTTAGTGTATTTATTGCAATAGTTTTCGAAGGGTTGCCATAGTTGTATATATACTTACGAAGGGAAAAAATAGGCGAATGATATTTTGTTAAGAGCCTTCATGCTTTTAATATAGTATAGATATAGATTTTATATAAGTGATTATGGTTTTAAAAAAAATCTAACCTCATTCATAATTTTGCGCCAAAACTCACATAAATTTGTACCTATCGCGACCTGGATTTTTCACCGTCGGGATCGTGATGGCGCTTACTCATGAAAGCTAGGCAAGCCAACTACTATGATTTTAACACATTAGAAATTATCCCAAATAGAGATAAATAGTAACTAAGGCTAAGAAGATATAAAGCGTGGAAGCGTTATAACAATTCAAAATACTCCAATACATGTCTACCCCAATAATCTGGTGTCACAATCTCACAAACATCTACGAATTTCTACAAATAGTGATTTAGAAAGAAAAGTACAACTGTTCTCGAAATGAAAAGAGACTGTAGTAAACTAAAGCGGGGAAAGGGGGACTTCAGGCTCTGCGGACTCCAACAGATCTAACTTGGTCTCCTTGGACTGAAGGCAGCTACCTCAAGCTACTCACAAGGTCCGGCACCGAGATTTGCACAAAAAGTGTAGAGTGCAGTATCAATACAACTGACCCCATGTACTGATAAGTGTCGAGCCTAACCTCAGCGAAGTAGTGACGAGGCTAGGACACGACAACCATATAAACCTGTGTAGTTAAATCATATACGAGCAGTACAATAATAACAGAAAATAAGAGATAAAGATGGGAAGGGAACATGCTATGGGGAATATCAAATTCTAACAGTAATTTAATAGAGAAGCATAATGAACATGATATTTGTATCAATAGGAATAATGAAACAGTAACACGTGCATGGCATCACCCTTCGTACTTTTACCCTCGTTCTCACCATAAGAAACAATAGAAATGGCACGTCATTACCCTTCATACATTAACTCTCATAATCATGGCACGACATCACCCTTCGTGCATTAACTCTCACAATATCGACATGGAATCATACTTCGTGCATTAACACTCATAATATCGGCATGGCATCACCCTTTGTGCATTAACACTCATAATATCGGCACACCATCACACTTCGTGCATTAACACTCACTCACAATAGCATGCACGACATCACCCTTCGTGTTTTATACTCTTCCTCACCCAAATAATAGAAACAATACGTCCCGGCAAGGGATTCAACAATAGAAATAATTAACATCCTGGCAAGGGAATCAGCTATAACCAATATCGTTTCAATAGTTACTTCACAAAATAAATCTCAACTTGAGCCAATACTCAACAATGGTCAATTACAAAGAAATTATCATAAGTCTTGTTCAACATCGATAATCATCAATTTAACATGGACAATACATAATAGAGTCACAACAATCATGGTATAAGACTCACGGGTATGCTCAACACCAACGTATAGATACTCGTCACCACACCTATACGTCGTACTCAACACTAACACGTAGCAAATAAGACCACAACACCTATTCCCTCAAGCTCCGACCAAACACTTACCTCAATTCCACGGACAAAAATCAAGCCTCAATTACCACTTTACCTCTCGGTTCCACTTCCAATCCGATTGAATCTAGTCATAATTTACTTAATAACATCAATAAATGCTAAATAAACCAATTCTAAAGCATGAATATAAATTTCCCAATGTTTTCCCCAAAAAGTCAAAACCCAACCTCGGGCCCGCTTAGTCAAAACTCGAAGTTCGAACAAAAACCCGATTACCCATTCACCTACAAACTCTAATATGCAATTGGTTTTGAAATCTGACCTCAAATTGAGGTCCAAATCCCCAAAATTTGAAAATCCTAATTTCTACCCAAGAACACCCAATTTCCCATGAAAAACCCTAGATTGAAGAAAAAGAGTTAAGATTCATTTACCTATGATTTGGGGAATAACTTGCTCTAGAAAAATTGCCCTTAGGAGTTAGGTTTTGAAATTTTTAAGAATGAAGTGAAAATCCCGTCTAGAAGATATTTTGTTCAAGTGCAGATGTTGCAATTGCGATAGGAGCTTCACAATTGCGAAGCTCACAAATGCGAGACAGGCTTCGCAATTGAAAACCCGTTGCATGTCTGCTCCTCTCGCAATTGCAAGCATTTTGTCGCAATTGCGATGATTGGCCCCTCCCTGATGACTTCGCAATTGCGAAGGGAGGTTCACAAATGCGAACAAGTGCTGGCCTAGGCTTTCTTCGCAATTGCGATCAAACCCTCGCAATTGCCAAGCCTGAGAGGCTCGCAATTGCGAAATCTGACCTCGCAATTGCGAGATCAGAGCCTGCAACAGCTGCAACAGAAATTCTCCTAAGTCCTAACCCACTGCGTAGCCTATTTAAAACTCACACAAGCCCTCGGGCTCCAAACCAAACATGCACATAAGTCTAAAAATATCATACGGACTTGCTCGTGTCATCAAATCGCCAAAATAACATCTTAAACAACGAATTTAACACCAAAATTCAAGAAATTTTTAAGAACATTGAAATTTCTATTTTCTCAACTAAGGGTCCGATTTATACCAAATCTACTTCGATTCTTACCAAATTTCACAGATTTGACTTAGTTATTATTTTAAACTTGTACCGGGCTCCGGAACCAAAATACGAGTCCAATACCAACACGATCACACACCATTTCATTTCCAAAAAGTCCTTATATTTTCCAGCAAATAACTTTCTTTACAAATTCTTTTCTCGGGCTAGAGACATCGGAATTTGATTCCGGGAATACGCCCAAGTCCCATATTTTACTACGGACCCTACGGGATCGTCAAATCACAAGTCCGGGTTCGTTTACCAAAATGTTCACCGAAGTCAGCTTTAATCAATTTTAAAGGCTAAATTCAATATTTTTCTTCAATTTCACATAAAAGCTTTTCGGAAATGTGCCCGGACTGTGCACACAAATCGAGGAGAAGGAAAATGAAGTTTTCAAGGCCTCAGAACCTGGATTTGGATTCTAAAATACAAGATGACCCCTTGGGTCATCACATTCTCCACCTCTAAAACAATCGTTCATCCTCGAACGGACATAGAAGAGTACCTGAATCAATAAAAAGATAGGGATATCTGATTCGCATATCGGACTCGGTCTCCTAGGTCGCTGCCTCAACAGGCTGACCTCTCCACGACTCACGAACTGAAGGAAAATTCTTCAATCCCAACTAATGAACCTGCCGGTCTAAAATAGCTACCGGTTCCTCCTCATAAGTCAAGTCCTTGTCCAACCGGACAGTGCTAAAGGCAAACACGTGGGATGGATTGTCGTGATACTTCTGAAGCATGGACACATAAAACACTAGATGCGCAGCTGATAAACTTGGCAGCAATGCAAGTCTGTAAGCCACATCTCCCACTCGATCAAGAACATCAAAAGGCCCGATGAACCTAGGGCTTAGCTTGCCCTTCTTCCCAAATCTCATCACGCTATTCATGGGCAACTCCCGAAGCAACACTCGCTCACCAACCATGAATTCCACATCACGAACCTTACGATCGGCATAACTCTTTTGCCTGGACTGAGCTGTATGAAGCCTATCGTGAATGATCTTAACATTATCTAAGGCATCACGTACCAAATTCGTACATAACAACCGAGCCTCCCCTGACTCAAACCACCCAACTAGCGATTGACACCTTCTACCATATAATGCCGCATAGGGAGCCATCTGGATGCTTGACTAATAGCTATTGGTGTAGGGAAACTTTGATAATGGCAAGAACTTGTCACGACCCCGGTTCACCCTTCGTGAACCATCGTGCCGGCACCTAGTCTCTACGACTAGGTAAGCCTAAAAATGCAGACTATAAACAACAATTGCGAAAGGAAATAATTAAAAACCGAAATAGTGAAATAAAACAGTGTTTAAAATGCCACTCGACATACACAATAACAACTCTCGAAACGAATAACATTTCCTAAACCCGGAATCTCATGATCACAAGCCTATAAATGTCAACAATCATCTAACTCCGGAATATCTAACAAAGAAACGAAAGTACAGAAGGGCTAATACATAAAGGGAGAGCAGAAAGGGACTCTTAGGTCTGCGAACGCGGCAGATATACCTCGGAGCCTCTACAAATGCCTCGTCTCAAGCGTGATAAGTCTGAGTGGAAGTACCTTGATCTGCACATAAAAAACATGCACAGAAAGGGCATGAGTACACCATAGCGGTACCAGTAAGTGCGAAGCCTAACCTCGGTCGGGTAGTGATGAGGAAGGTCAGGCCCCTACTGAGGTTAAATAAAATATAAGGTTCAACAGTGTAGAACAAAATAGTATAAGTAAGTGCAACAGTAAAAGTAACACAAGATATAAAGGACAACAACAACTACCATTGAGGCCAAGTAAACACAGAAATAAAATACAGCTCAACACAAAGATGACAAGCGGGGATCTCCTAGGATACCGTCTTGTAGTCCCAAATATAAATATCCAGTGGAACTCCCAGGATATTGTGTCGTAGTCCAACTCATAATGCGAGGGAATCTCCCGGAATACTGATCT